AGAAAATATTTCTGTTTCGGGCCCTGTCCAGCGAGGTCGAAATTCCAGATATCAGGAGTCCGGTAAACTGGGGTTTACTTTATATACTTTATCTTGAGAAGAGAAGAAAAAGGATGGGAGAAGGAAGGCATGAAGGAATGAAGGTGGGAAGGGAGGATATATTTTATGTGCCTTAGCAAGATAAAACATCCCAAAATCATGGCAAGTAATTACTGTCAAGGGCAGTGGCTATTTTTGTAACCAAACATAACAATTTATTGAAAAATATTTTCCTTTAGTAATTGCAGTTTGTAGAAGCAATACAACAAGAGCAATATTACTGGGGAAACACATTTAACTATGCAATGATACAAGTAATAAAGTGTAGTTCCCTGATCTCTCTCAATATCCACTTTATAACAAATGGCATGTTTTTCTGTGTGTTAATAAGAAGGTTTCTCCCAGTGTCCTGGGAACAATCCTTCAGATTAATTGGTCATTCATGGCTTTTTGTGGGACTCTGCTGATGCAAATGGCTGCTGTGTTTGTCTATAACGTGGAGTCCGGTAGCTCAGTGGTAAAGCACTCGCCTTGTAAGTGAGACACCTGGGTTCAATTCCAGGCAGGGTGAAATCTTGGGCAAGTTTCCTTACTCCACACGTCTAATAATAATCCTTCCAAAACAAAAACAATAATAAATTGGTCATTTTCAATCCATGACTGTTTGTGGGACACTGCTGTGCGCAATTGGCTGCTGCGTTTCGCCCACAAATATACGGTCAATTCACTTTACAGCATATTCTGTGAAGTGCTTTGAGGTGTCGAGAAGACGTGAAAAGTGCTATATCAAATGCAAGGATTATTATTATTTTTATAAAACCAGACACTATGTTTGACAGTAATTATCTATGAAATCCTTTGAGACATTTCCATGTGATAAGGCACTATAAAAAAAACCTTGCTTTCACAAGATCACAAGTGAGGTTCAGTTGAAGAAAGCCCATTTGATCTAATCTTTCCAGAAAACCAATTGAACCGTCTTCCCATTAGCTATCTCTTAAATGAATCCAGGGTCTACTACCCTCTCTAGTCACCAGCTGTTAATCACCCTCTGTGCAAAGAAATACTTCTCTGAGTCTGTCCGAAAATTGGCCTTCACACCCCTGATCCCTCACAGTTTCTTACTTGCAATTAAATTGGATTTATGTGAGCTGATGATATTGATGGCTAAGGGTTTCTCTCTTTGGGACGTCCTCATGACATGAAAGGCGCTATACAAATGTAATTTTGTTGTGTTTGTGTCAGCAAAAGACAGCGACGTGGCTTGAGAATTTCTGGTATAGGTTGAGGTCTCCACGTTCATTTCACTTGAGAACGTTTTTTTTTGCAGAGAGAGAGATTTTAATAAAGTGTCAGCAATAGCATTGGGCTACGTTCCCTCAGGGGTTCTCTCCGCTCAGACGAAGCATTTCAACGGCTCCCAGAAACAATTAGTCAAAATAAGGGAAAAATATGCGTAGCTTAACAAGTTTGACAATTTAATGCAATCCATTTTCTGTGCACTTATGCCATTCAAAATCACGTAGCTTTCCTTTGTCTGGTCTCCAAAGCACCATTAGAGGGGAAACACATCAATATCTTGTGATTTGTTATTTTGGCCCAATTTACCATTGCACAATTTTTCTATTTTTATTTTCATATTCACTCATTATTTTGCTCATGTCAAAGTTGCTTCTCTATTATCCCTTTTAATCACCGACACAAATCATCTGCCAAGCCTGCATCTTGTTAATGGGATTTGTTTTTGCAGTCAGCCATTACTAACCTTGTGCTTCTAATAAGCAGAATTTCTCATTTAGTCAAATCTTTTGATGTACTTGTCAACTGGAGACTGAGTCTCAGGTCCTGTATATTCTCTGAAGCGTGAGATTGAAGGTGAGAGGATGGATTCAGGAAGCTTTAGAGAAATATTAGCTATTTACTCTGACATTAATCCACAGGTAAGGGGGAAGGGTGTTAAATCGGTTCTTAATATCCAGTCACATTATGCTGACTGGAATAATATTTCTGAAGCTCAGTGAAAAGTGTGTAAAATCTGTTATGTAGTGATAGATGTTACAGAGACAATGTTAGTGGTGAATGAGGTGTGTAAACAGAAATGGGCAGGCAACACATTTTCATAGGCTGTTGTGAAACAACGCTAGTGCAAATCCTTTGTGATCGCAGGGTGAAATTAGTGGCATTTTATTAGCTACAATAACTACTTGCATTTATATAGTGCCCTTCACGTGGGGTAGCATCTCAGAACACTTAACAGTGGTGGAGCCTGACGCCAAGCTGAGGGGTGGGAAGAGGTGACCGTAAGCAGGGTCAAAGTGGAAGGTCTTCAGGCGTGATCTGAAAAAGGGGAAGGAGGGGGCAAGGTGGAAGTATTAAGGGAGAGAGTTCCAAGGTTTCAGGACGGGGTGGCTGAAAACATGGTCGCTGATGGTGGAGTGAAGGTAATGACTGACAATATGTTCTTTGTGAGACTTATGGCAAGCAACACGGTATGAAACTCTGTGACTTTGATTTTTTTTACAAAACCCCATTGGTCCTCATCATTTCTTCTACTGCCCCGAGTGAATTTGACCCCAGGCTTCACACTGAATCCTGAGCTACTTTGGTGAAATGGTACAAAATTTGCATTCTCCCCAGCGCTGGTGTGAGATTTTCCCAATTTGCTCAGATCTTTGATGACTCATTTTGTATGCTTTGCAAAATAGTGGTCTTTAAAAAAANTCTAGAACTTAAAAAAAGTTGAAAAGCCTTTCTTAGCAGTTTTGAATTAAAAAATATAAAATCCGTTGCATATTTTTAACAAACAAATTCACAAAGATCACAAGAAAAGATTAGATCAAAAAAGACCCTTAGGTTTGTCCGATTTCATCCTTTTAGAGCACACACTACCATCCTTCCATCATAGCATCAAGCTGATTCTTAAATGAATCCAGTGGCCTGGCCTCAATCATCCATCCTGGTAATGATGGCATCCAGCAATGATGGATCCACCACTGGGTCTTTTCCACCAGTTAATCTGGTTATTTTGCTGTGTAATGTCTACAAATACAATCATTGGACTTTACTGTAAATCCTATGAATCATTTTGAGACATCCTTACAAATTGAAAGAAGCTAAATCAAATGCAAGGATTATTAATATTTTATATTTATATATATTTTTCATTCCTAAATTCATCCCGAAATTCAACTTAATTTGGCTGCTCATCTCTATGTTATGGGATTAGCTGCCACGTTTGCTTAATTAACAATAGGCACTTGATTTCTGATTAATGGAATTTGTAAAGTGCATTTAAAATGTTTATTTTCACGTGAGAGGTGGTATATTCAATCAAATGATCGAAATTATTATATGCTTAGACTGCTTATTTGTTTATACTTGCCTTGTTTGTTTCCTGTCTATTCTTCTCTGCCTGCTCAAACCTCTCCTTGCAGCTGTTTATTCAGTGCGTTTTAGCATGTCCCGTGGTGCTTGTCATTTCTGCTCTGAAACAAGCTGTTCAGAGGTGTGTGAGCAACACTAGTCGATAAGGCAACTTTTGCTTTTCCTTTCTTTCCATTACGTCCTCTGAACAACTCTTCTGTGATTGCTTCTAGGGTCTTATTGTACCATATATAGTCAAATAACCACCAGCTGTGGCATGGAGAAATATTACAATAGTTTCTTTCTTTCTTTCTTTCTTTCTTTCTTTCTTTCTTTCTTTCTTTCTTTCTTTCTTTCTTTCTTTCTTTCTTTCTTTCTTTCTTTCTTTCTTTCTTTCTTTCTTTCTTTCTTTCTTTCTTTCTTTCTTTCTTTCTTTCTTTCTTTCTTTCTTTCTTTCTTATGATGATCATCATCATAATAATAGTAATATTCCTTGCATTTGTTTGATTTATTAACATACTGAAATGGATTCATACAGGTAAAATAGCACAATTCTCATCAGTCTAAATAAAAATCACAAACACCCCATTTACCTGAAAGTGCCAAAGAACAATTAAGACATTCCACTACAAAATACAAAGTCACTTCACTTTACAGTATATCCTGTGAAGTGCTTTGAGATGTCCTCCTGACTGGAAAGGTTTTTTATCAAATGCAAGGATTATTATTATAGTGACTAGTGCTCCATCTCAATTGCCCGCTGAATTAGATTTTGTCATACATGAACGATTAAAAACAAAACTACAAAACATAAACAAATAGCATTAACCTGCGGACAATGACTTCTCACTCAGATAAGCTGGCCTTGACATGGTTTAAAAATGTAGGGGGACAACTTCAATCGTGGGTCTAGATTCATGCCATTCATGCAGCATCTCAGAGCAAGCAGAATTTGGCTTCATTTTTGCTGTTGTTTTTCTGCAAGTTTTCTTTAAGAGCTGCAGAAAAACGGCTTCAAAGACTGAATAAAAAATTTGCTAAATTCAGCATGCTGTGAAATAATAAGAAAAATACGAGAAAATAGAGTAAATCTAGATCTAAACAGAATTCCCTGCCTGCACCCAGCCCTCCAATCCCTCACCAGCAGAGCATAGACTTTAAATGAGAGCTGTTAGCTTAAAACATTTCTTCAGAAAGCAGCATTTAATTAAAGTCTAAGCAATGGCTTTAAAGCAATGGTTGGTATACTGGAGCAGAGTACAGCGCCTGAATATAGCAGGACCTTGTGGTAACAAAGCCCTTTCTATAAGACTTTCATTTCTTCTCTGAATTTGTAGTGAAATTCTGGTCTCAGATATGAATGCAAACATCAATAGATGGACACGTTTCCTCCTCCACTGTGGCCCCCATGAGTTTGTAGGTGCAAGGTTTGACTATAAGTGAAAGGATAGCATCATGCGCCAATAGTGGAGTGTCTACACGTGTGCAAGTTGTACAGCACACAGCAAGAGAAGATTCTGTTTTAATTTAAAAAAGGTTAATTTTGACTCTACCATTGTGGATTAGTATCATTATATTTAAAACCAAACCTTACTTACAGGAAAACAGGCTTTAGCTCTACATGGGAGTGTTTCGGGGAAGCGTGATAGGAGTATGAATCAAGTCCACCTAGGAAATCAACTGAAACCACAACACAACGACATATGAAATACAGAGGTTCACAAATGGGGAATAAAAATGAAATGCATGAAATTGAAAACAGATACAGGCAGCAAACTGATAAACAACAAACAAGAAATTAAAAACACATATGCTTAAATAAAAACGTAAGTTATTAACCATTGAAGAACTAATCACAAAAAACAAATTTACAACAACTCGTGCATTTATATAATGCCCTTCATGCAGGATAGTCTCTCAGAGCGCTGCACAGTGGTGGGTTTGGACGCTCAGCAAAGGAAAAGAGGGAGGGAATGTGACCATAGGTGCAGTCGACGAGGTAGGTATTCAGATAGGATTTAAAGATAGATAAACAGTGGGGAGAGGGGGAGTTCCAGAGATTAGAGGTGCAGTGGCTGAATGTATGCTCAGCAATGGTGGTGTGAAGGGATCTGTAGGGGCCTATGTTAGATGACCGACAAGATTTTACCAATCTTTTCAGGTATAACTTTCCTCTGAGTTTATGGTAGGAACTTTTGTTTGCTTAGACTCTACACCTCACCAGAGCATAGAAGGCACTTTTAGCATCTTAACTTATATTTACTCAAGACTGCTGTATATTAACATTGAAAGTCCAAGTCACAGGCAAATTTTTATTTGTGAGTGTTGTGCTGATTGAGGTGAAAGGATGCCAGTGCTGACAAGGAATGATACTCTTTGTGGTATTCACTGCATGAATTTGCTGGATAACAATTGAGCCGCAAAAAAGGTTACCCCAGCAGTCACGAGAAAAGCATTACCCGGACATCTGCCATTTCTCCACTTCATTCTGATCTACATGTGTGGCAGATGTCCTGCAGATCAATGGGATAACAATAACAACAACTTGCACTTATATAGCGCCCTCCACGCAGGGTAGCATCTCAAGAGCGCTTAACAGTGGCTGATTCTGATCTGGGGGGGAGGTGGCCATAAGCACGGTCAAAAAGCAAAGTTGTCAGATGGTACTTGAAAGATAGGAGAGAGGGGGCAAGGCAGACAGATTGAGAGAGTGTTCCAGAGTTTCAGGGCGTAGTGGCTGAAAGCACAACCTCTGATGGTGGGGCGGCAGATGAGAGGGATGAGCAGGAGGCCGGTGCCAGTCGAGCGGAGGTGCCGGGTGGTGGATTGGAGAGTGAGGAGATCGGAGAGGTAGGGAGGTGCCAGGGAGCGAATGGACTTGAACACGAGAAGGAAGATCTTGAAGTCGATCCATTTGGGGATGCACTTTTGGTTACCGGCAAGGATCCTATTTGGGATTGGACTCTCTTTTTAGTGAAGCTAGGCAGCGCATCCTGCAGGTACAATCCCAATGTCAGCTTCAAATGCTCCTGGGTTATGGGAGAGATGCAGGGAAACTTTACACTCAATGTAACATTTCTTTACCAGCTTGTCCCCTCTGGCCTCTGGAACGCAAGTGACAATTTAGTACCAATTACATTATATGTGAACTAACGAGAACTCCACTCCAAAGCAATTTGCTTCCAAAGTGGAGTTCCCTTGGCTTCACACTACTTGCTGTCGGAGTTGATTTTAACAATCCCTGTTAGGAATCTCTGCAATCTCCACCTCCCTAACATAATGGAGATGGTACTATTTGATATAGAAAGCACCTATAGCTTATGGAATTGAAATATTTTCTTGTAAGATATTGTAAAATGTCTATCACACTGCAGTATGTTTATTCTCTACTTGTATTATGTACTAAGTCCAAAAAAANCTCCATTAAGAACAGATGGAGGTACCCAGTCACGCAGATCTAACAGGAATGTGCTTCATGCTGCAGTCGTATCACCTGTTCCTTTCATGGTTAAATGTATGAAAACCAGTGCAACAAATTAAAGATTACTGGATAAACAAACATCAATAAAGCAGCTGTACACAGCATCTCAATAAGTAAATATACATATTAATAAAACTTTTGCTAGAATGAAGATGGCAATGTCATTTTGGATAATGTAATATACTTTGCACAGCAAAACATGCTCCATTTCATAGAATGAGACAGTTTGAAAAATTATCTTACGCACTTGGAATATTGTGTGGAGTTCTGGTCACTGCAATATAAAAGGATATTGCAGCAATTGAGAAGATACAGAGAGGGCAAGCAAAATGATTGTTGGACGGAGGGACTGATTATGAGGAGCGATTGGGTAAACTGGGCATGTTCACACTGGAGAAGAGAAGGTTGAGGGACAATATGATTACAGTCTTTAAGATACTGAAGGCAATAGATAACATAGACCATGATAAGCTGTTTTATCTTGTACTGAACAGTGGAACAAGAGTACACAGACTGTGATTGAAGGGGGTTAAATTCAGAAAAAATCTGCGAAAACTACTTCAGTGAGTGAGTAGTAAATTTATAGAACAGGCTCCCTAGGGAGACAGTGGTAGCAGAAAAAGGTGTTTGTTTCAAGAACAAATTAGATAGATTTCTGCTAGAAAATAATATCTCGGGATACAGTATATAGTTTGGGACATGATATGTCAAGTGATTGACAGGATAGTGGAAAGTGAACTAGATGGACCTTGATCTTCTTTTGCCTAGAAAATTCTTCAGTTCTTTTGTAAGTTATGATGGAATATTAAAGCAGATTGTCAATAAATTAAAAATCATCGCTGGACTTCCTGTGGGTTTTACAGAAATCCTTTTACAGCTGAGCTGTAGAGCTTTGCTGCAAAAAAGCAACTAGTTCTAAGTTTCATCTCTCTCACATGTAACTGTAACATTTCTTCCTCATTGCAAGTTGTACTTGATCCTTGCTCAACAGATGTTGCTAAACTGCAACACTGAGCACGTGTCTCCAGAGACCAGAAAAGGAGAATTGGAACAAAATTGGAGAGATTACTCCCCAAAATTCCACCTAGTATTAGCCTGTAAATAAATTCAGATGTAAAATTCAAAGTTGTACAGAATTATAGAAAATCGCACAATTGGTTCAGATGAAGATCCTTCAGTCCATTTGATCCCATCCCTCCAAAATACCAACCCTACCATCCTCACATCACAGCATTTAGCTGCTTTTTTATTAAATGTCTCCAGTGTCCAAACCCCAACCTGCATTTTCTTAAATTGAGTCTTAATTTGGAACCCAGTTCATTGTAACTCTTATATGTTACCATCCAAATTAAGATTAAATTTCAGATATTTTCTACAATAATGTGTGATCTTAAGTTTTGAATCAGAACAGTCTTACAACCTAAGGCTTGGTGGAATTTGGGGTCTGCTAGCTTTTCCTGGTACCTTTGTTCATTTTGCAGACTGCCGTCCGGGCGTGGAGTTACAGCACTGAACACGCATATGTCGGCAGCATGGATGGTTGTTTCATCGCTTTGTGTGCACGGTATCAAGGAACGTCAAAGTAAATGTATTGAACCTCGTCCTCACATTCAAATCCCTTCATGCGTATGACGTTTTGCAGGCAGCACATGCAGTGAACTCATGTCCGCCGTTACATCCTTTTAATAATAATATAATAATCCTTGCATTTGATATAGCGCTTTTCACGTCTTCTCGACATCTCAAAGCGCTTCACAGAATAGACTGTAAAGTGAATTGACCATATATTTGTGGGTGAACCCATAGTGAGCGGGCTGACGGCTCAATTAGCTTACAACATTGTTACAGGCAGCAGCAAAACAGTGAACTAACCACCAGATAAGAGTCAGCAGAAGAAAAGCTATGAGTTTACTGCATCATTGCAACAGTTATTCAGATTGCACTGTGCCTAAACCTCACAAAATGTAACAACTTTTAGTCTGCATTCCGGCGTGAATTCCCATGGCACCAGGTTCTCTTGATCTCTGCATGAGCTTTTTACATTTCCTGGAGAACTCTTTATGGATTGCCACATTCAGGCTCTATAACACCTCATTTGAAGTCCACGCTTGGCTTATTTCAATAGCTCGATCTGATATTATTAAATACTTTATTAAACGACATCACTTAAATGAAGTAATCATCTATCTTGGCAAGTACAAGGCAATAAAGCACTCCCTTGCAAATTATATATTGAGACCTTGGACTGAGATATTTTATCAAAGGATTGAGGCTGTTTATTAATGATGAAAGTCTTAGCATTGGGAGGCATTGGTAATACACTGCTGTTTTTCTTTAGAAGTGTGAACATAAACATAAATCGCTTATTACTTAATGTCTTTAAAGAGTTCTATGGGGATTCAGCAAGTGAGCAGATGAAACAGCAAATGCAATTTAGTGTGGAAAAAGATAATGTACAACACATACTGGTATTAATGTATAATTACATACTGAAGGGTCTTGCTAAATAAAGTACATCAACAGGACTGAATGTGCAATGGGTCAGAAAACTCTCCTTTTACCCTGGATCTGGTTTGAATCAAGCCCAGAGTAATGGGATGAAGGTCTTTTCTCTGGCCACCTGCAAAACTTAGTAAATGTGTTTGTTGATCTAACCAATTTCTTAATGAGGGCCGAGCCCTGGGGAGGGAGGGAGGGAGGGAGGGGGGGTGTCGGGGCGGGGGTGTTGAAAAGGAGGGAGATCACAACACATGTGGTCAAAGAGGTAGGTTAGGTTAGATTTAAAGACAGAAGGAGAGAGGTGAGCTGGAGGGGTAGAGGGAGAGAGTTCCGGAAGTCAGGGGTGTAGAATCAGAAAGCTCAGCCACTGATAGTGGGGCGAGAAGATAGAAGACGCACAGCTAGCCTGAGTTAGCTGAGTGGAGGGGCAAGAAGAGGAGATGCAGTAGGACAAGATCAGAGAGATAGGGAGGTGCAACCCTCCATATTGTGCGACTTTGCTGTGTGCAAAATGGCTGCCATGTTTGCCTAAACAATTCCTGTTGACAGTAATTATTATCACATTTTTCAAATATAATCAGGCGCTATAAAAAGTTTTTTCTTTCCTCTTCACCTGAAGTCTGTTGCTGTGCTTATTATTGATACGTCCTCCCAACGTGACGTCGTTATATCAAATGCAAGAATTGTTATTCTACCTTCTCAGTGTATAAAACTACACAAGATAGAACTGAAGGCTAAAACTGTATTATATCAGGTGGTAAATTCTGGCAATGATTTACAATGAGGAATTTAAGGCTCCAATTTTCTTCTATCAATGTAGCATGTTTGCTACACTAATATAATCTAACAAAGAGTAGCAGGTTCATGCCAAACCTTGCCATATTCGGAGCTCCAGATGCCCAAGATTCCTCCTTTGCCTAAAAATTTAAGATCACACTCCTACCCTTCTCCCTTGTTTAGACAAAATAGCTTTACAGGCTAAGATGAGGCAGAATTCCAGTCCTCTTGATTTCCACTTTGGAGAGAGGATGAGGGGAGTTGGCAGGTGAGTTCCCACCCACAGATTTTGCGCCCACATTAGACACAAAATTGGACAACATAATAATAATAATATAACAATCCTTACATTTAGTATTGTACTTTTCACATCGTGAGGACATCCCAAAGCAATCACAGGATATACTGTAAAGCGCAGTGTCTGTGTGTTGTGGGTGAAATAATTTGTTTTTTAAAAAAGTTACACGAAAGATTCTTTTCAGGTCCACTGACTGTTTAATGCTGTAAAACCAGATTGCGTTGAAACTGAGTGAGTTTTAATTCCATGGACCAGTGATCCAAACAGTCCAGAATCACACATCATTTTTGTGTTGTGATTTAAAAACATGCACAGTGCTTACAGGCAAAGCAGATCTGATCTACTGCACAAGGGATTCCGAAGTGCAGTTAACCTTCAGCAAGCGACTGGAAACACTGGAGTGATGTCCTCCAGGACAGAAAGGAAGTGAAACAAAAGCCTAAGGTGAGGTCTCAATGGAGAATCTGATTCTGCTCTGGGAATTTGCCTGTCAGCTTTCCTTTATGGCCTCTGTGATATTTCTATGGCAACTGTCAACTCTTTCTGGTTACGTACATTGTAATTTTAGTTTGACTGTCCATCAGGGCAACTGAAAGAGCTGCATCTTAGATTACGATGCAAACCAGCAAATGTGCCTCAATGTTAACCAGTATGCGACTCTCCCATATCTAATACAACGTACGGCAAGAGGGCCTGTGTAATAAAATCTTTACTTGGAGTATCAGTTTGAACAAAAATGAATCAATTTGCACAGCTGATCGGTACATTGAATTCTTTATATCAGACTACAGATCCATTTTGCAGTATATTGATCTCCTATAACCTGATTTAGACAAGAGATATTAATGGAGGTTGCCGGTGATGGTCCAATACAGTAAAATACAATATAATTTACATTGATATAGACCTTTTACGTCAGGAAATGCCTCAAATCAATTGACTCTTGACTGGGCAGCCCAAGCTGGGGGGGAAGCTGAGGGATGGGGAGGGGAAGAGAGAACCAAAAACACAGTCAAAGAGGAACGTTTTGAGATGTGCTTTAAATGAGTCTCATTTGGCACTACAGGGTGGTCCCTGTATACCGCGCCTCACTAGAATGTGAGCTCATTTAGAAATCGGACATCCTTGACGTAGACGTTACTCGAAGAGTGTTGCACGTCCGGCTTCTGTTGTGGACTGGCCAGCTTCCTGCACCTGCTTGTGCTGCACGCAGCAAACCGGCCTGTCTGTAGCCACAAGTCGCAAGTGATGGCAGCAGCGACCTGACGCCTAGACATACAATATGATAACTGGATTGTGGCTTCCATATTATCATATAGGCTTATAGATCATATTAGGAAACTCTGAGCAGCTTCAGAATATAGCACTTAGTATTGTGTTGTGTGTTGGTGAATAGGAAGATCTTGAAAAGCCATATTGTTCCTTGTAACTACTGACACTAGTTTTTATTCACTCCCTAACCCCCCGGGAGCTCCCTCCCACCACATCCCACTCCCACCGCCCCTCACACCCACTCCACTGTAGTCTCCAAAGACATATTGCCAGGAATGAAAAGTTGGAAATCATTCATAACTGAAGCAAAGCTGGATTGTTCAACTGTGAGATTGTGTCTCACTGTAAGACCAGAGCTATGTATTGAATGCCCATAAAACTCAACTGGCTTTATGGGTCTTAATCTCTTCAGCAAAAGCACTTCAGCCTGACACCAAGTAACAGAGGCTGCCATTGACTACTTAATGGAGCTGAATGAGATTTATAATCATTGTGGTTTATCTGGTAAGCCTACTTAAGTCAACATGAAATGAGCTGCGAAAAGTCAAATGGAGGTTCAGTGGTTTGACGACATACTAATGGACATTTGACATACCATCACTGCGCTGACTGACCAATATTGCATCTTTCCATTGAAGTAAATGAATGGATGCGAGCTGTTCCACATTATAATGTTAAATGTGGCATCTTTTTTTTCAAATAAAATCCCAACAAATTTGAACCATTAAGCAAATGAGAAAGATGGATCAGAGAGAAGCAACATTGCCTAACAGAGATGATTGTGTGGAGTATTATTTAAATAATGCCACGAGGGGGTGAACACCTCTGTTGAGTGAGAGAATTTTTTTTGTTCTTCAGCATAGAAGTCCCTTTGCTGAAAGAGTAAATTTGTTAGATACCAGTTTTCTCTTAAACAAGGCAGTATCCAGTTTTGCTTGGCTATATTTTAGATAATAAAGCTTCAATCTCCTCAGAATTTGAAATGAATACTTTGGAAATGTTCCAATGGTTGGACAGCTGGTAAACTCAGCATATTTTGATAGCTTCACATTGTCCATGTAGAAGTGAATGGATGTATTTTTTTCTGAGTGTTATCAGTTATGACACCAGCTTGTCCCATAAGCCAGCAGAAGGGATACTGTCTGATGTAAACTCTCATTACTTTAATGCATCCCTGCTGAGATGTAGTGTGAATCAATGACAAATTAGCCATTATTGCAAAGGTCATGTCTCACCCTGGAGTCATCCAGAGACGGGTTGTTTCAGTACTTACAGCTGTCCTCATCCTCCGTGAAAACACTGATCACATAGCAGGCGTAGACAAAACCAACGAGCTGTGGGCAGAAGGTACAAAGAGAATCCAAGGTTACACGCAGCTTAGGATCACTTGGTACTGCATTAAAATTTCACAGTTTTTTTAAAAATAAGTTAATTTCCCCACATTTGTTCCTCATATTAACGTAGGTTGGATTCAACGGTAGTAGAGTTCAATGTCACTGACCCATTTCCACTGTGAGTGCAGTTTTCTTACAGCATTTTATCTAATTATATAGTAAAACTCACATAAATCTAATCTTTATAAATCATACAATTGCCTAAGTTGTACATGCACCCATTCGGTTTCCTACCAAAATCACTTAGATTTCTTTGCACTAGATGTGTTTTATCAGTTACTTGCTATGCCAATACTGTCTAGAACTGCGGGAGGTCTGCCCCAGAAGTAGAATCCACATTGGTAAGGCATTAAGTTCATCCGGTTGCTATATCTGACTCAAGATTGCTTCTTGAGGAGCTCCATTGGAAGCCACCATGTTCCAGGCTCCAACTTGTAGGTTAGCTGATCTCAGCCTAGGTAACAGATAGGAAGAATCAAATAGCTTCAACAGTTAGGGAGGTGTAAACCAGCCAGGGTTCCCACTACTAATCACTGTCCAGACATTTCTGCTGGTTTGTAGGGTGTGTGAACATTGGCTGAGAGCAGGACTCGGCTTGACTGTGATGCTCCATACAATCGAACAGCCTGTCAAGGAATACAGATGAGCAAAGGCAACTTACGTAAGGTACCAGAGGGCAACCAGAGCATTTGGAATTGTACCTCAAATGCCAAATGCTTTTTTTACAATTGGAAGGGAGAAAAAGTGCAGGAGAAAATTGTCAATAACATTTATTATTTAAAACATAAAAACTGAGTAAAGTAACATTGTATAGCCAGTGTCAAGGTTTTCTAAACTACTAAGAAAACACAATAGTCATAGGGCAAATATTGGTTCAATTCTGTGGCAATCAAACGGACGAGACATCACATTACAGCTTGCTGTTACATTCCAAATCAGGGTCAGCAGGGCTGGAAGGGTAATTGAGCAGCTTAGCACATCAGGCAAACTGGTTAATTGTCTTTTACAGAAGCTGAATAATGCATATCATCCGAGCAGCGTTTGTTTCATTTTGGCCATCGAAGCCATACATTATGTAGTGTCTGGAAGCCAGCAATTTCAAACCTGCATATGTTTCTGCAGACACCAGCCTTATAGCTCTTCCATTTGGTTTTCGTTGATCTGCACGTGAATTGCCCCCTTTCTGCGTTCACTAAGAGCCTTGCGCTTCTGATCACTTGTAATATGAAGGTAACAAAAGGATTTCCTTCCAACAAAAAAATATTTTCCAATTTTTACACTGATGTAGTAAATTTTATATTCTCTGTTTCAGTGACTGGTAATCCTTCTGCACAGTGAATGAGGATGAGCACAGCTCTGGTAATAGGTCAATGCTCTGGGGTTTCATAAATGCAGGCAACAGTGATTAAATATTGATTCATTTTCTGTAGTTTGATCTCCTGAAAATTAGCTTTTTTTCCCTTAAGGTCATCTGTGCTTATCATAGATATTCCCCCTTTTTAATGAACTTTTTCTTTTTAGAGAAAAGTCGTCACTCACTTTTGAAATATCGTTACTTACTCTTCCAAGTCAGACATTTGAAGCTGTTTAGTTCAGGACCTTTCTTAAGATCACAAGATTAATTTGGATGAAGAATGCTCTTTGGCCCATCTGATCTCATCCTTCCAGAACATTCACCTACCATCTTCCCATCACAGCATCAAACTGCTTTTTAAACGAGTCCAGTGTCCTGACCTCAACACCCTCCTGATAACCTGTTCCAGTTGTTAATGGTTCTCTGGGCACAGAAAAAACTATTGGTGTCTGTACTAAAACTCCCCTTTGCAAATCTGTTGCCCTTTATGTTCAGCACCTGCTAAGGTCCAGGTGCCAAGTGAGATTTATATGCATCAAAGAGACTTGGCTGTCTTATTTCCAGGAAATGTGTTCTGTTAGTCAGGATCCAGCAAATATCCCTCCAGGATATAAGTGTAAATGGTAGATTATTTAATAATAGTCAGCCCTTTAAAGCTAAATACATTTATTATTTTTCATTAATTGCTGATTTTTTTCCTACTGTTTACTCCACATGTGGGCAAACCACTCTGGAATGGCAGGTTTAGGCTTTCGTAATTGTTTTGATCTTTTACCAAGCTGCATTTAACATTATGCTGCATTTTATTTGAAACTTTGACTTTACAATAAAATCTTGTGAAGCACTTTGAGACATCCTCCTGATGTGAAAGGCACTATATCAAATGCAAAAAATATTATTAATAATCTGGCCCCCTTGTTCCTCCTTAGCTCCATTCTCCCATGTTTTCTGCTTCCTCTCATTTTGATGTCCAAACTCGCTGTACTGTCTCCTACTCTAACTTCTCTGAGTCACACAGTTGTGGATTCAGAGGGCAACTGCACAAATGAATTCACGTTGCAAGGAAGCAGGTGCTAACCCAGGATTGCTAAATGCCTTGAGGCAGACACCCTCCTGACATGAAAGATGCTCTATAAATGTAAAATTGTATAATGCTATAACTGTAGATTTGATGTGACATTGAATCTGTTAAGAAACAGTGGAACTTCAATTGACTTTGACACAATGGCTTGATCTGATGCCAAAAGTCTTTGGCACTACCTTGAATAACTGGCTCAGCGATGGTGGGCCAAAATATTTATTTGAATCGATTACAGAGGAAGCTTGACTGCCATTTCACAGAGTCTGGGGTGAGCGAAGCCCCTCTGTTACTTTTAGCTGTACAAATATGATTCCTCCACCATTAGGAGCACAACAAATCTTCGGACCCAACCATCGTTTTCGTTTCATTAAATTAAACTAAGCACTTTGGAACATCCTTCCAGCATGAAAGGCATCATAGCAAATGTAAGGATTGGTGTTCTTACCATGCTAAGGCCAGAGGGGAACTCAGAGAGCACCAGAGTGATGACATTCTGTGAAGTTTCAGTGCAGACAAATGTCAGTAGCCTTGTGATTAATAGTGCCATGGGATCTTTATTGTGCACCTCTGACAACGCAGTACTCCCCAGCACTGCAATAGAACACTAACCTAGACTGAGAGTTCAGTGTACCAATGTATGGCTAGAACCCACAATTTTCTGACTCAAAGGAGAGAGAGCTACCAACTGAGCCAGGGTGCCAAGCAGGGTGAAGCACATCATACAGTGGGACAGGTCAGAACAGGTCAGAAGATTTAACAGTTCAATAAGACTAGAGTTTGTCTTTACCTACTCCAAGCTTTCAATACATGAAATTTGCACAATGCATCATTATTAGTCATTCTTTTGACACTGTCTTAATAATTCCTTAAATCTCTGGTGCTGAATTCTGCACATTCATTGAAATTCGAGTCTCTCAGCAATCTACTATTTAGTAATCCACTTCTCTCATTATAATTTACATTACTCCCAGAGATCCTTGAGATTTGCAAAAACCCATCTATTTTTAACACTGTTCCTCCCTGAAATTCTATCAGTAACACCCAAGAAGCAAGTATTACTGCTCTTATTGTTCTTCACAGCCATCAACAAACTATTCTCTCAATTTTAAGTGAGAGGGAAGTGATTACATGGTTGAATTATTCGGTATATTCAGGCTTGTGTTTAAAGCTCTTCTATTAGCCATAGCACTGTGTTGTAACCAAAATACCCTAAAATATAAGGAGACAGTCAATGGAATCTGATATGCTGTCTTGTACTGATTTGTTCTGGAATCCCCAAGTTCTTGTCAGTTTACACCAAATTCTCTTTCCATCCCATGGCTTTGAAATGTCCTCCCGACGTGAAAGGCACGATGTAAATGCAATTTGTTGCTGTAAGTAGAGTAACCACTCCATACCAGTCAAACAGAAAATTTAATTTAATATAACATAATTTACATATGATTGACACGATGGGCTGAATGCCCTCCTTCTATGCTGTATCTGGAACTCAGTAGTTTGGTTTGGATACTCTGAACTATGGTGATTGTTTTCCACATGTGTCAAGACATTTTGAAATAAAATAATAAATCCTTGCATTTGATATATAACACCTTTCACGTCAGGAGGGCAGCTCATAGAGTTTCACAGGATTTACTGTAAAGCGGAGTGAATGTGTACCTTGTGGGAGAATGGGCGAGACACTGGCTGAGACACTTGGCTGATCCAAAAAAGACACTCCGTGTTGTGCTGCCTTCTTTTTTAACTTTATGATCTATTTTATAAATTTTCGGTGATCTGTCATCAGACAATTTAATTGTTTTTGAAGGTGACTGACTGGGTGCAGAAACAGAGCGTGCAAATGTGAGATGATTCTTCTGAAGGCAGGCCATCTGTGTTGTGTGCCTGAAGATTAATACCCTTGGAAAGCAAAGCCGAGATAGTGGGACGGTACAAGTGTAAGAGTTAAAATGGGCAGATGGCTGTGGGACTTGGCAGAGAATGAAGCCTTGTGGTATCTATGACCAACATTATCATGACTGATTCAACCACCAGTCACTGCTCATTTTTGGTGAGCCATTACGTTTTTGTTGTCACTGCTCAAATAACAACAACTTAACTAATAAAAATACAACTCTCCAGAGACTTGTAAACAGATGTGCTATCTGTGCTGTCCAGTGAAAATATGACAGGACAGAGATTGGATGGTTCAACTTCAGAACAAAAATATTAAATGTGCCAGAAGAAATGTATATTGTAGTCTTTTACCACAACAAGCTCACATTCATACAATGTGGTCTGAGATGTCGGCTGGGTTATAATAATAATTATATCATTATATAATAATCCTTCCATTTGGTTTAGCACCCCTTTTACATCATGGAGACCTAACCCCCTACCAACCTATCCACTCCTTCCGCTCAGCAGGCTCTGGCCTGCCTCACATCCCCCGCCTTGCTCGCTCCACCATTGGTGGGCAGGTCTTCAGCCTCTCTGCCCCACCCTCTGGAATTCCATCCCACACTC